AGAAGAATGATACTGTTTTATAATTTTTACAAAGTTGTCTAATATCTGACTTAATAGATGACAGATGGATTAATTTTTTTTAAATTTTACTTATTTGTTTTTATTTTTCACTATTCACTTTTATAAGATTTTGAGTTCTAAATTTTTCCCCTTCCCTCCCCTCTCCCCAAGATAGCATGCAATCTGATATAGCCTGTATGTGTACAATCATATTAAACATATTTCCACATTAGTTATGCATGTTGTAAAGAAGAATTAGAACCAAAAGGAAACAACGTGAGAAAGAAGAAACAAAAAGAAAAGAAAAAATAGTATGCTTCTATCTGCATTGAAACCCTGTAGTTCTTTCTCTGGATGTGAATAGCATTTTCCATCATGACTCTTTGGGAATTGTCTTATATCATCGTATCGCTGAGAAGAGCTAAGTCTGTCAAAGTGGATCATCACACAGTGTTGCTGTTACTGTGTACACTGTTCTCCTGGTTCTGCTCACTTCACTCAGCATAATTCATGTAAATATTTCCAGGTTTTTCTGAAATCCATCTGCTTATCATTTCATATGGAACAATAGTATTCTATTTCATTCATATACCACAACTTGTTCAGCCATTCCCCAATTGATGGCCATTCCCTCAATTTCCAATTCTTGGCTACCACAAGAAGAGCTGCTATAAATATTTTTGTACATGTGGGTCCTTTTCCCATTTTTATGATTTCTTTGGGATACAGCCCTAGAAGTGGTATTTGACAGCTGGATTCTCATATCTGCTTCTACATTCAGTCTATTCTGAGATGTTGCTTTGGTTGAAGTAGATGAGGAGAAATTCAGCCTCAAATAGATTTTGTTGTTGTTTAGTCATGTCCAACTCTTTATGACCCCATTTGGGGTTTTATTGGCAAAGATACTGAAGTGACTTGCCATTTCCTTCTCCAGCTCATTTTACAGTAAGGAAACTGAGGCAAACAGGGTTAAGTGACTTGCCCAGGGTCACACAGCTAGTAAATGTCTGAGACCAGATTTGAACTCAGGAAGATGAGTCTTCCTGACTCCAGGCCCAGCACTCTATCCACCTTGCCTTTTCAAACAGATATCTAGTTGGAAATGGGAGGAGAATTGTAATAGGAAAATAACTTGGTATTATTATAAAAATATTTTTGACCTCCTGAACCCCCTGAACAGATCTTAAGAACCCTCATAGATCCGTGGAACCCTGGTTTAGATTTTAAAATTCTTTATCTCTGTCTTCAGGGACAGGAAGGGAGGAGGGATATATTGAGAAATGTAGGTAATAAAAACAAGATAATAATAAAATTTAATTTTAAAAAATGCTATATATGAGATGAGAAAGTCAAAACAGTTTTTTTTAAATAAAGGCCAGTAATCTAGTGTTCTCTTCTCCTCCCAATTTACCACTACCCCGCCCCCCAAAAAAAGCACAACCCTTACTGGTTCTTGTCGCTTTAATGTTCCTTCAGGTATTTGGTGAGTCAGAGATGCTCTCCAGCTTGTTGAGAGGCCTCCATAGATATTCAGCACACATTGCAGTATAGCTCTCTTGTGTATTTTTTTAGGCTGGTAATGCCCAGCTTCCATGTTCTCCCCCACCTTACCGCCCTCCTCCAGCTCAGCACACACTTCAAAGGTATAGAGATATTTGAGCCTGACCTGCAGCTAGCTGCTTTGATTGAGAGCAAGTTTGCCTGGCAGTGCTCTTCCAAAGAGCCAGTTCCCTTCCTAATTCTAATCCACTAAAACTTCCCTTTTGAGCTGATTTGGGGTTTTGCAGTTTGATTCCTGCTATGTGACACAAGCAGTATCTAAGAATCTTGCACTTACATAATAAGAATATCACTCCTCTCTTTCCTGTTTTTATTCCTGTAGCAAGGTGAATAGCTTATAAAACAAAAGATAGTTGACAGAGTTATTTGCCTTTGGCTGTGCTGAATTTATTCTAAAACTTAATAAATCACAGCCTTCATTAGTGAGTATTAACTTTCAGACCACTAGGCAAACTTAATAAGTTCTATTTCTCATATGGTGAATAGTTCCTGACATGTCTGAAAAGACTCTGACCTTCTCACTACAGTCCCATATGAGTAATAGTAACAGATTGTGCATAACTCTTTTTGAGTTAATAAGTCTTCATTGTGGCTAATTCAACAATTCTTGTATCATGTAATGATTGAATGTTCCCCACTTTACACCTTTTTAATTCTCCTTGGCCTGCCTATTTTCTTTGGAAAGGCTGTTATTTCAAAGGAGGAAATAAGATGAAAAGATTGCATTGAGCATTCGAGCATAAACAGTTTTCTGTGTACAAGAATTTGTCACTTTCTCCTACTCTCATTGAGTTATTTGCTACTCTCTGCATTTGGCCTTGGTAGCCATCATCCTTTCACCTTTAATACTGCATCCTGTTTCCTTCCTTCAGCTGGAGTCAAGCTTTCCCTGCTGATCTAACATTGTTGTGGTTGTGTTTTGTTTTGTTTTTTTCTAGTTCGGGTCTCAACATCTGAAGTGAAATATAACAAAGTGCATATATTTAAGGTTTTCATTCCATTATCAGATGCTGTATCTAGTTCTTCTGTAAACCCTTACCTTTCCCCCCTTTGGCAGGGGAGAAAAAGCAAAAATATGAAAGGAAATAATTGAGGGAAGACTGATTTTCAGTACCCAGTCAGGCATGAGGAATTTTGCATTGTGAATGATGTATTAGGTGCTGAGGCCATGATAAACAGTGCAAGTCCCTGGCCCTGAGGTACTTGTAGGCCATTAATGCACATTCAAATAGCTGTAGTATGAGGAGCTTGCATCAATGCATGTTCTTGATACAGTATCTCATTCTCAGTGCAGAAGAGAAGGTACAACTTGCTTTGGGACCTCTGAAAAGGGATATGAGATTGCCCCTGATGTCATATTGGTAGTTTCTGTAGCACATTTGAACCTGTGACTTTGTGAGAAACTGAAGCTGTGGGAAGGGGAGGGAGATAGAAATTCATTATTAACATGTTTCATGACTTCTGACTCAGCCATATCTGAGTGGATTGTGTGGTCATAGCAAAAATATACTCAGTTCTTCCCACAGTGGTTTCAGATTATGCATTTTTGCAAACTTGTTGGGGCCTCCTATATCTATCTTAAATGTTAATGATATCAACAAATGAGGAAAGAGAAAGAATAAAGAATTTGGTGTCAGAGGACCATGGTTCAGATCTGTCCTGTCACTTAAAACCTATATGACCTTGGGTAAATCGCTCAACTGTTGGGACCTTGGTTTCCTCATCTATAAAATGAGGGAGTGGAATGGTTGGTGCCTGTGGGCCTTCTAACTCAAAATTTCTGATAGGTGATCCCAAGAATGACAGTGCTAGGTGGGATATACTAACATCCGGCAGGTAGAAAGGAGCCCATTTTACATCAGTGAGTACCATCTTTGGTCAGTCAATATTCACAGAGACTATTAAAGATAAATTGGTCTTTCCTAATAGTCATTCAGTAATTTGCAACATAATCAAAAGTAAGTGCTGAGTTGTAAAGAGAATTTTTTTTGTGAATATTATGCTGTTCTGATCACTTACTCCACAAAAAGCTATAAGATAAAATCTTTAAGAATGAAAGGTATTAAGTACCAAGTAATGTATAGTTTTCTTCTAAAAATTGGGTTTAGAAATATTTGCACATAATTGAAAAACTTTTGATTAGAGCTTTATCCTGTGCTGTAATTTAAATAATTTTAAAATTAGTGGCATTCAACACCATACTGCTCTCTCCCAAGATTTCATTAGATAGTTAGGTTTTCCTTTTACTTATGCAACTTGCATTAGTGTAATTTATTATTGCATAAAATATCCAAACAAAATAAAAGAACCATTAGCATGATTTTAGGGAGCTTTTCACTGTGTGCATGTATGTACATGATGCTGGTGACCCATTGTTATTTTATGATGTCCCTTTCCATTGGTGGCAATAGACTTTTCATTGAACCATTCACAGCTTATATTTGCAATGCAGATGCAGGCCAGTTGTGTGTGGCATGTATGGAACAAAGAGAAGCTGGTGGGCTCATAGATGAATCAGACCTGTAGCCTGCTGCTTCATTAGGAATATTTCTAACCCTCAGAGCTACCTGATTTAAATTGGTCAACACAAACTCAGCCAGCCATCAAAATTCATTTTATTTGAATAAATTCCAGGTGGAAATGTCATGCTGTCTCCCTGCCTTGTGCCCAGGCTGTCCCTAATCCCTAGAATGCCTTCTTTGCCTCTATCTTCGACAATTCCTGCTTCCTCCACAGCCCAGCTCAACTGCCACCTCCTCCTATAGGAGACCTTCCTTGATCTCTTAACTCTTCCTCTTATACACAGAATTACCTTTTAGATATTTTCATATGTACTTTGCATTTATTGTCGTGTCCCCTATTAAAAAATTTTGCTAATTTTATTTCCATAAAATTAGTTTCTTTTCTAATTCTATGTATTTTACTTTACACATTTAAAAACATTTTGAGTAAGGGTACATGGGCTTAAACCAGAGTGCCAAAGGAAACAAAAAAGATAAATGTTAAGCTTCTTGAGGCCAGTTATTGGTTGTTTCATTTTTATCTGTGTATTGCCAGTGACTAGGACGTTTTGGGTGCTTAATGAATGCTTATTGCTTAATTGAAAGCTTCTTCCTTTATATATATAATATCACTATCCAGTTTCCTTTGGTGTTATTTGGAATACAATGGAGAAAGTCAAAGATTTTTTTAAAGTTGTGTTTTGTTATTTACAAAAGAAAATGGTAACCTTTGAAATAAAAAAAAAGTTAGAATTGATGGAGATCCAGGGATTCCCTCTGGCCTTATTTTGTCAGCTCCCAAGAAAATGCAGTAGCCGTGCCTTTGGAAATTTTCAGATTGGCTTACCACTCATTGGAAATTAACAACGTTGATATTTAATAGCTATTCTAGTTATCATATTCTTAGAAAGTAATGGCATTTTACTTTATTACCGACAGTCACAGAAGCTGGTTTTGGAGCTGATATTGGCATGGAGAAATTCTTCAATATCAAGTGTAGAGCTTCTGGCTTAGTTCCCAATGTAGTGGTTCTGGTCGCAACAGTGAGGGCATTGAAGATGCATGGAGGTGGCCCAAGTGTAAGTTCATGCTATCTTGTCACATAAAAGTTTGGTTTTAAAAATTCATGAAACACTTAATACTTGAAACTTTTCATGCAGAGCTGCTAATCTGTTTCAGTGCATTTGCTTGTCCTGAATTTTTTCTTTCACATCCATCAATGGCTGTATGCTTCTTAAAGGCTAAAAGGTTCTAAATGACACCCATGAAGTTGTTCGCTAGCTTTGAATTTATTTATTTTAATTTTTTTTCTAAAAATTAGCTCAAAAATAAAATAAAATAAAAATTAGCTTGATTTAAAACTGCATAGTAAATAGTGGGTTGGCTAAAGGTCCTTACCCTGAAAAAGAAACAGAGGAATTACAATGAATGAATTAATGTTGAATGTCTTTCATTTATTTGGCTTTATGGTCTCCTTGTTCATTGATGCATCATCTTTCATCAGATATCTGAAAATCATGTTGTTCTGTTGCTATCAGTTATGTCCTAATGTTGGATTGTTTTAGCAATATTTCAAAGGAAATGCCCTGCCCCCTCTAAAATTAATTTTGTTGAAATTTATTTTTCAAATTGTAAAAATTTGGAATTGTCCAAAAGAAATCAGTTCTGTGAAGTCTCTAGTTTATTAGCAGGATCCTTAGCCATGCAGTTCCATCCTGTGTTACACTGGCATTTTCATCTCTAATCTTTTTGATAGCATATGGTGCACAGAAGGTCTGAATGAATGAACATTTTCAAAAATCAAGAAGTGCTGATGATAACAAACGTGATATATGTTATACCCACTTTGCAACCTGAAGCTTTTGTACCTCCTTTGCTGTAGATACTATTTTATTGCTACATAAAAATGCATCAGCTTTGGGCTTCTGGGAGATACTGTTTGCTCACGTTCAGCCTATACCTCATGAGAACACATATATATCCCATCAAAAGACAAGATACTTTGTAAATGGAAATAAAATGTTGGTAAATTGAACTAAACATTTTATGGCATTTTCCTTAATTTACCTCTTTCCCTATTTTAGGTGGCTGCTGGTATCCCTCTTAAGAAAGAATATACAGAAGAGGTAAGGAAAGCTGTGTAAAAATCTGCTACATGGTATCATTTGAATACTTTTATTCATTAACTTTTGAAAGAAAATGGTGACTTTTAACTGGGGAAGAGGCTGGGATTATGCAGTCTATAAATGGCCATTTTGAACCAAAGAGTTCTCAGTCTCCAAGAAACCATGAAATAAACAAGGCCAGATTCTCCCCTACCCTGAAAAATCAGGAAACTCAAATTTATAAATGTATTTCATAGACAGAATCGCTATATAGTAAGTTCTTTACTTTGACAGCCTGTTATTTCAACCCAGAATCCATACTGTTCCTGCTGTGTCTCTTTAAGCATCTCAGTAATAGCCTCTGAATTACATTCAAACTTAAAATTGTGAAAGTCTAGGGAGAAAAACCATAGTTTCATAGTTTAACTAAATAGGAACAGATAAGCTCAGAAGAAAGAGTAGTAGTAGGATGCTTCATGTTCAGAATGACTCACAGACTTGATCCAGTAAAAACTGGCTACCTAGCAGGCTAGGGTACTTGGCAGAAGCATGCATTATTAGGTTGTTGATGAATGAAGGAAGCCTGGCATAGCTGTTGTTATATTCTGTTGAGTGCAACATGACTCACAAACAGGAAGTCTTTTTTTTTTAAAGGATATCAAATTGGATTTCTGAATTTGAAAGGAATAATATGTTTTGAGGCTGTCTTTTTCATGAATAGTCTTGCCCTTAGCCTGCTAGTACAGGGTTTTTCCTTAAGATGGAGCAAAGAATATGATGGGGTGGGGGTGGGGCGGGGACTGGCGCTGATTCACACCATTACTTGTGCCTTGCATCAGCCAGCCCATGGACATATTTGGCATGTTGTTCCTGGTGTAGCAGCCAATGAGATGAAATGCTGTCATGAATCCCCAGCAAGTAGCAGCCTGACTTACACATTTAAGGCAGTTGATGGAGTTTTTCACAAGCAGCTGCTCTTCTTTTGAGGAAAAGGTGTTTCATAATGTTCTTCTAAAGTAACTCTAAAAGAGAAGAAGAAAAAAAGTAAAGACAAATTATAAATAAAACCCTCTCCAAAGCAGTCCTGCTGTTCTTGGTTTTCTTGGCTTCGCTGGACTCAATGAGAAATGATACACTGGGCCAGATGGTTTTTTCTTGCAGAACCTTCAGCTGGTAGCTGATGGATGCTGTAACCTTAAGAAGCAGATTCAGATTGCACAGCTTTTTGGAGTTCCAGTTGTGGTTGCTCTAAATGTCTTCAAGTAAGTCAAACCTCATGTTTTAAACAAGATTGGATCATTAGGTTTCCCTTTGAATTATTTTCACCTGGGGGCAAACAGCACTTCTCTGTTCTTTTGGGACCTCATACTCAGGGTTTGTTTTGGTTTTGGTTTTGGTTTTTTTTTTAGGAGTATCTGTGTCATACTACACATTTTTAATTATGAGGAAAACCAGGTGAATAATTTTTTAAAACCTGAGTTTTTTGTTTAGTTGGTTTTCTTTTTACAATTCACCTTTTTTTTAATAAAGCCCTGCAAGCCTGAAAAAGAACCATTTTAGTTCCTCTTCTTTCTTTCTTTCCTTTCCTTTAAAAAAAAAAAAGTAGAACCAATAATTGTATTTAGAGTAATGTACTCAAACATTTTGTTCTCAGGACCCCTTTACACTCTTAAAAATTAGTGAAAATTCCTCAAAGAGTTTTTGTTTATGTGAGTTATATCCGTCAGTATTTGCTTTATTAGAAATTAAAATATCTTAGCCTTATTATGAAAATAGTTTTGACTACATGGGCCTCCCTGAAAGCATCTCAGGAACTGTGAGGGCCCTAGACCATACTTGAGAGCACTGATGCAGACAATAGTTGATAAAAGCTTGAGCCTAAAACACTGAACCATTTTTGAGAATGGTTAAAAATCTGAAGTCCCGTTTGTTTAAACGTGGTGTACATCCTTCTGGTGTTTTAAAAACCACCCCCTCAATACACACAGAGTCAGCACTATCAGTATTTCCATCACCAACAGGAGCGACACGCGGGCTGAGATCGACTTGGTCTGTGAACTCGCAAAGCGGGCTGGAGCCGTTGATGCTGTCCCCTGCCATCACTGGTCCGTTGGTGGTAGAGGGTCAGTGGACTTGGCTCGTGCTGTGATAGAAGCTGCAAACCAAGGAAGTCACTTCAGATTCCTCTACGATGTCCAAGTAAGAAGGAGGGGATGGGTAGGAGGGGAGCAAGGAGGAAGATAATAAGTCAGCGGTTACCTCCCAAGATTTAGCTAGTACTGTGACTAATGTGATTTTCACACCTTATGTGGACCTGATAAAATCATCATAGATTTATTTCCACTATAAGAATTTTTCCTCTGTGGAATTTTCTAGAGCTGTATTGAGCTATTTTAAAAAAAGTGGGAGAAGGTGTTGTTCATTCCTTTTGTTTTTATATCTTAGCCATTTTTAGAAAGATTGACCCACCCCAGCCCTGCACTGGCAATTCCTTGTTAGCTAAGAAAAATAGTATAGCAAAACCAGTGAACACATCAACTTCACCAGATAACATATGCATCATTCCACACTCAAAGTCCTCCACCTCCCTACCAAAGGGAGAGAGGTGCATCTTAGCATCTCTTCTCCTGTACCATAATTAGGTGTTACCCCGTTTGGCTTGCTTTTAGTAAATGAATGAATGAATAGATGATCCTTGTCAGAAAGGACTATCTTTTCTGTTTGTATGCCTATTGATTTTCACTAACCATTCCAGTATCTTTGCCAAGAAAATCCCAAATGGGGTCACAGAGTAGGACACACCAAAATGACTAAACAACAATTAGAGGTAGCTGGGTGGCACAGTAGAGAAAGTACAGGGCCTGGAGTCAGGAAGACCTGAGTTCAAATGTGGCCTCAAACACTTACTACTGTATGACCCTGGGCAAGTCACTTAACCCTGTTTGCCTCAATTTCCTCATCTGTAAATTGAGCTGCAGAAGGAACCACTCCAGTGCCTTTGCCAAGAAAACCCCAAATGAGGTCATGAAGAGTCAGACTCAAGAAAAATGACTAAATAGAAAGTGCTTTGTACCATACTAAGTACTGAATAAATGCTCTTTTCATGAATGAATGGAGAAAAAAAAGACATTTATTACATGTCATATAAAAAAAGAAAGTCCTGCTGTCAAGAACCTTGTAAGAGAAGAGAGCATCTATAAGAAAGTACCCTTAGAGGGTTATTTTGAACTAAGAAGCCAGGGAGATGGAGTGGAGTCATAGAGCAGTTGGGTGGGGGATGGTGTGAGAAAAAGATTGTCAGGTGGCATGTCATGCAGATGGTCAGAAAGTATCAGTGTGACAGTTTCTTTTTTATATTATTATGGTCATTGTGGATATTCTCCTGGTTTTGCTTATTTGATTCTTTTTTCCCACTTAATACTATTTTATTTTTTTCCAGTTACATGTAAAGATAGTTTTCAACATGAACTTTTATAAGATTTTGAGTTCCAAATTTTTCTCCCTTCCCTCCCCCTACCTAAGATGGCAAGCAGTCTGATGCGGGTTATACATGAACAATCCCATCTTAATCATATTTCCATATTAATCATGTTGTGAAAGAAGAATCGGAACAAAAGGGAAAAAGCATGAGAAAGAAAAAAAAATGAAAAAGTCTGCTTCAGTCTGCATTCAGACTTCATAGTTCTTTCTCTGGATGTGGATTGTGTTTTTCATCATGAGTCTTTTGGAATTGTCTTGGATCACTGTGTTGCTGAGAAGAGCTAAGTAGATAAGTCTGTCATAATTGTTCATCATACAGTGTTGGTATTGCTTTGTACAATGTTCTTCTGATTCTGCCCACTTTCACTTTCACTGAGCATTGGTTCACATAAGTCTGTCCAGGTTTTTCTGAAATCCACCTGCTCATCATTTCTTATAGCACAATAGTATTCCATAACATTCATGTACCACAACTTGTTCAGCCATTCCTCAGTTGATGGGCATCATCTCAATTTACAATTCTTTGCCACCCCCAGAAAGAGCTGGTATAAATATTTTTGTGCATGTGAGTCTTTTTCCCTTTTTTATGATCTCTTTTGTATACAGACCTAGTAATGGCTGGATCAGAGAGTATGTATAGTTTTAAAGCCCTTTGGGCACAGTTTTCCATATTGTTCTCCAGAATGGTTGGATCAGTTCACAACTTCACCAACAGTGCATTAGCATCCCAATTTTCCCACATCTTCTCCAACATTTATCATTTTCCTTTTCTGTAATATTAGCCAATCTGATAGGTGTGAAGTGGTACCTCAGAGTTTTTCCCTCATAATGATTTAGAGCTGCTTATTTGATTCTTTAATAAATTTATGCAAGTCTTCCCAGATTTGGCTGCCTTCCTCACTTCCATCATTTCTTCATGTCTTCAGCCATTCCCCAATCACTGGGCACCCACTTTATTTCTAGTTTTGTTTTGATTTGGAGTTTTTTGCTGTCACACAAAAAGGGTTGCCCTAAGCATTTTGGTATATATGGCACTTGTCTATCTATCTTTGAACTCTGTGGTGTGTAATTCCCAGCAGTGGGATTGATGACTCAAAGGCTTTGTATGAATAGGTTAGTGACTTTTCTGGCATAATTCCAAATTATTTTCCAGGATAATTGGATTAATCCATAGCTTTACTCACAGTATATTATTGTGCCTGTTTCCCCACACTCCCTCTAACCTTGACCGTTACCATCTTCAGTCTTTGCCATCTCCAGATGTTTACAAATTTGTTTGGTATGATTTCATTAGTTTTTAAAATTCGCTAATTGATGGGCCTATAGTCAGGTTAGCTGCATTATCCCTAGATAAATAATTCTAAGACTTGTGTCTTCTCAGAAATCTAATCTTGGCCCTTCTGATTCCTCTACTTAAGAATTTTCCTGCTTCCATTTTTGTAACAGATGTTTCCTTATAGATAGAGATAAACATACATATATATATATATATATATATATATATATATATATAGTTTTACATGTATATTTTGTATTTATATATATATTTGTATATTATACATATGTATATTATGCATATATAGAAAGAGAAATAGAGTGCTATATGTAGTTCTTTGTAGGGAATACATAAAATTGACACAGTATCTCTTTATATCTATCTATAAAGAGATACTATGTGTATTTTACATATTCCTTACCAAGAACTATATATAAATCTCTATAGATAGGTAGCTAGATAAATACGTGATTTTGTGTGTGTGTGTGGTTTTTTTGTTTTTGTTTTTGTTTTTGTTTTTTACTTCATGGCTACATGTATCCCTCACAGTTTGTTAGTATACTTTCCTGGTGGTTGCAGAAGTTATTAAAAAAAAAAAACCACTCTTTTTTTCTGCTGAGTTATAATCCTAGTGTTTACTTAAGAGATATGGGGCCATGGGCAAGTAATTTAGCTTTTCTGAGCCTCAGTTTCCCTGTCTATAAAATGTAAAACACATTTTTTATATAGCTGCAAGATAATACAGTGGGTAGGGTACCAGTTTAGTATGAGAAAGACCTAAGTTCAAAACCAGCCTCAGACATTTACCATCTCTCAGTCTCAGTTTTCTCATCTGTAGATTGGGGCCAATAATACCTCTTAGGGTTCTATCAAGGTCCAAATGAGATGATTTGTGTAAAGCACTTCATAAACCTTCAAGTGCCATCTAATTGCTAATCATATTATTACCTACCTCAAAAAGCAGTAGTAGAGAGTGTGGCTTTGTAAATTGGAAAGCTCTATGTCAACCTGAACTATTTTATTATAATTACCGTATTTTAGTCATATGTTATGCGTGGGCTGTTTTCAAATTGGCATTATTCTTTATTTGGTACAGATCCTTATTTATCTCTGACAGCGGCTCTTTGCAGATGTTGGCCAGGCCAACAGTGCCATGTGCTCAAACCACACACAGCTTCTTCCCACACTGTTTTGACCAGTTATACATTTTTTCACACACTACTTGTCCACTCTACCCACCCTCGCTAAAATATGTTCTGGCTCTTCTCAAGAAAATCATTGCAGGTGAAAAGAAGGTTAAGTAGGAAAAAAGGGTTGGTTTTTTTTAATAGTACTACCAGAAATACACTAACCCTGAAATGAACCCTTTTTAATTTTCTGCTGATATTTTAATGACATAGGTGTTTAGTTTTTCTTTCAGCCTATTTTTCATGGAGAAGATGAAGTTAGGATCCAGGTTCCTTGAGAAAAAACAAAAAGTTTGTAAGCACATGGTCATCATAGGTGGCCTAGTTAGAAATAAAGCCTACAACTTTTTTTACGGCAAAATACTATTTGCTTTTTTTTTAGCCCAAAATCAATGATTCTATTAAGTTCTGTTCAGTATTTAAGTCAGAGATGTGACAAATGTTTGAACTCTTTTTATATTTTATTTAATTTATTTTTTGTTACATTTTAAGTTCCAAAATGTCGACCTAACTCCCTTCCTATCCTGCACTAGAGAAAGCCACCATTTGACATAGAGATGTAGATAGATAGATGGATGGATGGATGGATAGATAGATAGATAGATAGATAGATAGATAGATAGATAGATAGATAGATAGATAGATAGATAGATAGATAGATGGATAGATAGAGACATACATATATGTACATCTACATATATAGGATATATGTAAGACCATACTATGCATACTTCTATTTATCAGTTCTTTTTCTGGAGGTAGATGGCATCTTTTTTCATAGGCCCTTTGTAGTTGATTTGAATATTTATAATACTCAGAATAATTTAGTTGTTCACAGTTATTCTTTGAATAATGTTGCTGTTACTATATATAGCATTCTCTTGGGTCTGCTCATTTCACTCTTTATTATTTCATGCAAGTCTTTCTGTGTTTTTCTAAAATCAACCAGTTCATCATTTCTTACAGCACAGTAGTATTCCATCACAATCATTAACCACAGCTTGGTCAGCCATTCCCCAATTGATGAGCATCCCCTCAATTTCCTTTCTGGTTCTTTGCCACCAACTGTTTGCTTTAAAAAAAAAAACCTTTTCTAAGACAGGAACTGAAATTGCCTTAGGTAATTATTCGTTGTTAATTTTTAATCACTGAAACCTGTGATATAGTTCTATGTAAGTTGCATATTACTATAATGGAAATATCTTTTTAACAAAAATATTTCTCAGCCATAGACAGTGGCTTATTTCCATGAACAT